TTATTTATTTAAATTAAAATCCATGTTGGAAGGATGTGATTGGTGATAAGAAATCCACCACAGCCGGTTCTCCAGTTTTTTTAAGGTGGTTTTTCTTCAGAACTTATTATGGATGGTTGGATCAAAATCATTTAAATCCAGCCGTTGAAAAACCGGTTGATGTAGATTAGAATTTTCGCTGGACTCCAGAAACCCTAGCTCTTGGTCTTGGGCATCAGATCGGAGCGCTCTGTCTCCCTCCTCCCTCCCTCTTTCTGTGTGTCTCATAAAACCCCAGCAGCTTCCCCCCTCTTTTGCATCGAATCGATGGGCAGTATTGCGGGCGATCTTCGTTTCCGTTATGAAGGTAGTATGATGCATTTGACGCCTTTCCCTGTCTTATTGGGCATTCCGTTGGAGATCGAATACGTTAGTGATATGGAGAGCAAAGCAAAGTACATATTATTGTGTGGGAATCAGAGTGGTTTCATTGAATTGGCCAAGGATAAGGTTGACGATACGTTTTCTTGTATCCTTGTGCACACAGAAGAGCCCGCCACGTACTGGGCGGTCGACTTTGTAAAGAAGATGAAGGAGGATTTGGGTCTCCCAGTGTTAGCTGTCGGGGACAGTAGTCCACTTGCGGTGAAGAGTTTTTCTCATTTCGTAGCAGGAGGATGCGATATAAAGTGGTTGGGACTCCGACCTAGTGATCTGGAGAGCACTGGTTTATCTGAAGGGTGTATGCTGGCCATGAGGAAGGCTGATCTTGAGCTAGCGCAACAACTGTTGGAAGAAGATATCGTCAAGAAGAAGCCAGAATGGGTTAAGGAGCTAAAGATAATGGTCAACAACCAGCGCAAGGTAGAAATTGAGGCATTGTCCTCAATTGCGTGGTACTTCTTCCCAAGGGATTATCTTCCACGGAAGATGACACAGCAGGATTGGATATGAGTCTGACTGATTCATAGCTAGCGAGCTTTAATTAGGTTTCTTCTAAATTATTCTGTTTGCCATGCTGAATATTATTTTGGCTTAGTGTCTTTGGTTTTTGTTTTTTGCTATATTGTGTTTTGGCTTGTCAAGTTTTACTGTTTGCTTGTGAGGTGGTTCTGTTTTATTAGTTTTTTTTTTTTGCTCGTAGCCTTGTAGGGGGTCTTGTTTCCACCTCATGGTGGACCTGTTATTTGCTTATTCATTTGAAATACTCTGCTTCATCTGGGTTTATTATATGTTGGCTTACAATTGTTCATCTAGTTTTGTCACTTTGAAAATTATTACTGTTAATTTGTGTTTTCTTTTTTCAGTGCGGACAAGGAAGGAGAATGGTCACAAGAAAAGAATTGGGCATAGGGCATTTCGGTGAGACCCTTAATTGTGCTAAACTAATCTTAGCTTAGAGAATTTCCTGATGTATCAAAGACATGGCTACGACATTCGGAAAAGACTACGTTATTTGGTTATGTATTAGTGACATGTGCTGTATTTCCTTTTGGGTGTTGAAAGACTTGTAATGTTGCTAGTTTTCATGGGGTTATATTTGATACGGAACGCCGGGAAATCATGAACTTGTTAATCTAAATCTCTTATTGTTTTTTTTTTCTTTTCCATTTTTCAATTGAAGACATCATTCGTTAAGAGGAACGAAAAATAAAATACTTGGAAGGATGGAAATAGAAGTGGCAAGCATTGATATTTGATAGTACATGGGGAGTTCGTCACTTAAATAGAGTGAAAAAGTCAAATGAAATTCGATGCTGTGTATGTAACAGTTGTATTTGTATTTACATAAACAAAACTTGTCTTTGTTGTCTACATCTGGTCAAATGGATCAACAAAACTTGTCTCCATCATGACTTTACAAAACTGGAAATCCATTGATCTCTTAAACAACCAACTATTCTCCAAAGATGGAGGAAAATTTAGGACATAAGTCACAGAACCTTAAAGCAAGACTTGGGGAGAGCAACCAAATACCAAAACAGCATAAAATTATACAAGCATACCCAATCAGAAAGGGCAGGAATTTTAAAACCTGTCTTTTTCACTAAAACTTGGTAGCAGAAGATCATCACCAGTTTCTCCTTCTCAGTCTATGGATGTTGTGGTGTATCAAGACGAGAGTATCGCACTTGAGCCGACGATGGAAGCGATCCTCTGCATGGTTCGTCCTTAACTCTTCTCTACGAAGACCTCCCTTGAATCATCAGTTGAATCAGCATCTCCAGACCATATCCCTAATGGGTGGCCATCATAGTAATTCATATTTATGATTCCTCGACATGGATTCTCGTAGATGTGGACAATGCATTCTTTATCCTTGTTTATACCGTATCTGACAAGCCAATCAGAGAACGACACGTGGAACAAGAGACCCACAAGGATCCAGAGATGGGTACTTCCTCCATCCCACTGTTCCTACCGTCAAAGGAGTCATCGTTCGGCAAATAGGGTGGGACGAGCCCAGTGATGCCCCCTTGCACGCCGAATGCAGGTCCCATTACACTCCAAACAACTGCCGAAGCTGAACTCTTGGCTCAGATCGCGATGTTACAGCAATATATGGCGAAGATGTAGGAACACAATAACATCATTTCGTCCAAAGTGGATGAAACGCAGAAGTAGATCAATCAGTAGCAAACCCAGAACAATCAGGCTCTCTCAAGAGTGTACGCACTCTCAATCGATGAAGGAAAGGGAAGTTCACGACGACTGTCGAACCTGCCAAGGGGCCTTTCAAGTGGCCTTTTAGAAAGTTCTTTCAGTTGGAACATTGAGTTCCTATGGCATTCACCATGGTGGGATTTCTCAACCAAGTCTTAAGAAAATAAGCTTGTTGGTTAGATGACCAAGGTGGTCAGATCCATAATTCTTTGAAAAGATACTTTTGAATGGCTTGGGAGGTGGTAAGTGATCTATCCATTTTTGTACTAAAAGCACAAATAATTTCGATTACCTTTCCGACTTCAGGCTAAAAGAATCGAGGGGGCAATGTTGAGCGTAAATAAATCCACCTAAAAGAGTGAGAGCTCGCAGGGGGTTGATAAAGTCGTGCAAGGTTGGTGAAGTCCCAAAGCAGGGTTGATAAGCCCAAGGATGACAGCCAAAGTCCAAGTCGTGACTTAAATCCCAAGTCCAAGTTGGAGTTTAAACTACGAGTCGGAATGGCAGCCAAAGTTTGAGCGTAAGTTCTATCGAACCCTTCCTTTCTTGTTTCTTTGTGCATTTTTGATCGGTTCATAATTGTATATCATTTTGTACCCTTCTAGCTTATGATTTGGTTATGTTTTTGAGTTAAACTTGTGCTTTTAATCCTTTTTGTGTTTATCTTTCAGTTCATTGAGCTTTAGGTAATAATGATGGCTTTAGAGAGCATAATTCATGCAATTCAAGCATGTTAAGGCCTAATTTGGATGAATGGATGAAGAGCTTAAAGACAAACTCAATTTTGGCTACAGTCCCCTGCCAGCCCAGTTTCGTAGGTCATATTGCAAGCTTTGTTTCAGCAACCTACATAGCTCGGATGAGGCTACATTCTTCATGAAAGTTGTTCCAATGGGTGTGTA